CCACGACTACTACGTTACTACTACCTAACCTAACTAACAACTATAGAAGAAGACGTCTAGTTACTACTACTCTACAGTAACGTTAACTTACTACGTACTACGTCTCTCTCTCTCTCTCTCTCTCTCTCTATCTCTCTCTCTCTCCTCTCTCGGAGTTAGCCCTGTTTTTTAATTTTATAAATTTATTTTCACCGTATTCTTTATGGGGTCTAACAATACAAAGATGGTTACAGAGCACCTTGAAGAAGATCAATTTGCATGCTTTGAAGCTCCAATCGATCGAACCCAACATCAGAAAAGCTCTCCAATTTCACCAAAGAGCTCTAACGATCCGGAACATGAAATATGGAGGCCCGAGAAGAGTCACAAAGACTTGCAAAAACTTCTTTTGAACAGCCCATCGTTCCATACATTGGCACAAGAGCTCTTCAATCTCAGCACCACACTGCCACCTCTTTCTCTCTCTAAAACCAGTCTCGAAGATGATGAGAGAATTAAGCCAATTATGGACTGTGTCCATGAATTGGCCACCCGAAAAAGCCAGAGAGAAGCCCTCACTGCCTACCCATTGCTGAAACAGAGCTTCAGGAGCCCAAAAACTAAGAGTTTTGTCGATTTAGTTGGAGAATTGGGAGAAGACATGGAAAATTTGATGACGTATGTCGAAACCAGTTATCGGTTTTTCAGTAGAGAGAGTATTGATGTTATGTTGGAGAGAGATATCAGTTGCAGAAGGATTGATGTTAATGGTGTGTGGGATTTGGGTTGGGAGTGTGGTTTTTTTGGGGGAGAAGAGGTTATCAGAGAGGTGGAGAAGCATGTATTTAATGGGTTGATTGAAGAAACTGTAAGAGAATTTGTATAGTAGACCATTAAAATAAACTAGAGCCCAACCGGTAATTCCCGAAGCTTGGTTGTGTATGTGAGAGAGAGATTCAAGGGGAAATTCACAGAAAGGTCATATTTATTTTTAGAAGTTAAAAATAGTTTGATATATTATATGGGTGCCGTTTGTATAGATCCTAGGCTCTAAACAATAAAATTAGACCCTACCTTCAAATAAAGTCGATAAATATGGTTTTAATATTGAAAATCTTTGTGAAAGCTTTAAAATATATTTTTATTTTTATTTATAAAGTTTAAAGCTTCAAAAATAGTGTAGATCGACAGATCTATGAAAACTTGAAAATTGACTGTCAAAAAATACCTTACAAAATGCATTATTTCCAAAACTTGAAATCCATTTTTTTCTCGTGTCCATGCATATTGATGTCAAGATGATCAATTCGAGGATATTTGGACATCAAAATAATCTCTTCTAGTGAAATTTTTTAGGGAGGCTCAAATTTGTTTGTTTAGAGCTTCATTTTTAAGTCTTATTTTAGAATATTTGGATATGTCAAGATGGTCAATACTTAAGTCCCATTTTTAAGAAGATATAGTATATATATATATTGTCTATTGGACTGAGTTTTGTTGATAGTTCTCACTATCTATCTACAAAAAATATTTCGAATATAATTTAAGAAATAAAATTAACAAAATACCTCTAAATATTACAAGGTTTATTTTGGTCATTTATTATATTTGAATTATATTTCTAATACCTTTTGTAAGTGTGTGATGGTGACAAGTATAGGCGAATACCAAGATTGAGCTTCATATAATGTACGGAAAAGGGATGAAATTAAACAAAAGAGTTCATATAAGATTGCAATGCAACTAGTGTTTAAAAAAAAAAACGAATCTTTGGGGTGGATCCTCCACCCCCTAATCTTGGTCCAGATCGACTAGATTGACAATATAAAAATCGCAAAGTTTTAAAGCACTGTTTAGAACCACACTTAGATTTGCAAGATTGCAACAAATATGGATGGTGCATATTGGATATTGTCGTAAAAAAAAATGTGTTATTTTTTTATATTGTCTAGTATTAAATCTACACTATCCAACTAATGTTGACGAAGTAAAATATTGCAATTTTACTTCTACAAATAAAGTTGCAACCGTTATATAAAATACACCTAAAATTAAAACATGTTTTATGCTCTCGAAAATTGGGATATGAGGGTATAATATAAAAATGTACGAGACTATTTTTTAATTTCAAAATATAAATAGGATTTTTCTATCAATTTTCTAAATTTATTTTGGGTGAATCAATTTTCCAAACGTAAATAATAAATAATTTGAGCTTAGAGAGAGAGAGAGAGAGAAGAGCTTAAATAACAAGGGCTTTGGTGACCACGACATTATGCCAAACATACATTTTCTAAATGAATATTGGTATTTGTTTTTATTCTCTTTTGTGGGGAATCCTTGACAAAACAAGCAAATAAAGTTGGGTTTCAACATTTTGGTTATTCGGATTGGATCCAACCTAACCCACACAATAAAATTAAATAAAAGTCAACTTACTGTGTCAGATTCTTTATTTCTTGCTTACATGGGACCATACTGTAATTTTGTTAGGTGCAGTTATGTCATGGATTTTATATTTTTAATTTAGTCTACGGGTTGTTAATAGGCCAAGATCGGGCCAGGCCGCTCTGGGTCTGCGCCCATCTGAAAACTATGAAAGGTGGCAAGATTTTGCACAATAACCCCCTCATGCAAATGAACTACTTAGGAGGATTTTTTTATCTCATATTTTAGGATCCTCTTTCATTATTATATGATTTTTTAAAGAAATTTAATTATTCAATGTTTAGATATTACCATCTAATGTATGAATGGCCTTTGTTCAACAATAAAATATTTATTTTTGGAAAAAGTAGACAAGAAGATCATTTATCTTTGGTACAAAGTAATCACAATTAATCTTGACTATTGGACGTGAAATTGGGTTGTTGCATTTATTTAATTAACTAAGCTCAAATTTCAAAAGAATATTTGTCGAACATTGTAACACACCCAAGCTATCACATTTCACATGATATGGTTATAAGTAAGGGTGAGGTTTTTATAAGGTTGCCTCATGTTGCATAGGTAAGGCACACCTATAAAATTTACTTAGAGATATCTTTGCGATGTTAAAAACCTTTGATGACTTCAAAATATCTTTTTATTCTCAGTTATAAAATTTAAAATTTGAAAAACAGTACATATCGAGCAGATTAATAAATACTTGAAAATCTTGAAAATAGACGATCTAGATATAAGATGCACTATGTTTTGGACATGAAATTCTTTTTTTTTTCTTCATGTCCATTTATCTCAAGGTCGAGATGATAAGTTGGAGGGTTCTCCTATGCCGGAGCGCTCTCCACTATAGGATTTTTGATGTGCACTTTACTTCAACAGTATAAGGTTGAAACTTTATATAAAAGTTCTCCTATAAGTAATTGTGACCTCTATGTACCAAATGTAAATGGTACCCTCCCTTATTTTTGGTTGGGTTGAGGCAGTTACATGGGTTGCATCCCAAAATTTAGGGGTCCTAAAATATTCCTAGTGATATAGGGAGTAAATGTGCATTATACTTAAAATATAAATCTTTTTGACTTCTCAGAAGCCAGTATAATTTTCACAAAAAATTCAATCCAAAAGGGACTCCATGATCAACTCACAATCACAAGTCAGTACTAAAGCATTCTGAAAGCTCAAAACACATAGATATAAGACAAGAGAGAGAACCATCACCATTCCAAAATGCTAGAAAAAGTGGAAATAAGAGCAGATAGAGAAAGTAATCATAATAGACCAAAATTCCAACAATAAGTGCAATAAATCAAACACATCAATTAACAATATCAAATTCAAACACCTCACCAAAGAATTGCAAATTTCTCATAAGATCCTATACATCAAAGATGCAAAAGTCGTGAAAAATCTAAAGAAGTGCACCCAATGTTTGAAAATCAGTAGTTCGACCCCGAATTGTCCGAGTCTAAATGGAACCTACAGCTACCCATCCATTTTTTTCGCCAAAACAGGACTCGGCCTAATAACAACTATTTTCCCAAGGAAAAATATGTATTTTAAAATTTTTAACATTGAGATCTCAGCCTCAAAGTTTAGATGGTCTCTATTCAATCTTGAAACATTACTTTTTTTTTTTTATTATTTTTAAGTACGTAGATAACAAGATTTGGGGTCCTATAGTTACGGCTTTTGCAAGAGGGAATAAATGGACAATATGCACCCATTGGAGCATGAAATCTCTGGGCAAAACTGAAACGTTTAATTTAATGATTTTTACAGTTTAATTTAATATTTTCTTAACTCTATACCTGACTTTTCCATGCGAACGTTTGCAAAAAAACACCGGCCACAGACCGCTCTCTCTCTCTCTACTAAAAGGAAAGAACAATAAAAATCCTCTCTCTCTCTCTCTCTCTCTCTAC